ACGCTTGTTTACTTCCAGTAATTATCATTAACTTTTTAATGACATCTTAGACAGATAATTTTGTTCAATGTCTTATTTGCTTTTGTAGAAAAAGTGTTGAAAAATGTTTTTTTATTAATGATTTTTGTTTAAGAATCCTGCTCAAAAAAAGTCACTTTTCGTTAGAATGGTTGAAATTAAGATAAATGCAGGAAAAGGTAGCCCGAAATCTGATCTCTTATAAACGATAAAGTTTTTTATTCAGTACTTCATTGTTTTCCAAAAATTTTTGAAGATTTCCGCCATCCTCTATTCAAAAAATAAGCTGTTTTCGGGAAAAATCAAAAATCTTTTTCGTTTTCTTCTTGATTTATAGATTTTCGATCGCGTATCCCAGAAATAGTTTTTTTTTGTTTGTTTGAAGGAGCATGTGAAGACGTAGGACATGACAGAGTACCTTTTTCGAATTAAGCTTTGTTACTATTATATAAAAGGGTATTTTTATAGTTAGAGCGCCATTTTTTTTTTGAGACGTTAAACTTTTCATCCCTTTTTTCTCCTTGGAAAATAAGAATTTGAAGAAAAAAAGGGGCTTTGTCATGCCATGCATCCTGACATGCACTTTCAAACAAAAAAAGGATTAAGTCTATAGAATGAAGAACCACCAAGAAATTTGGATTGCCAAATGAGCTATTTTTTATCTTTGTTTGTTAAATATCTTCCGAAAACGTCATGATATAGGGCTGAGAATTTCAATGTTTCTAGCCTAAGATCGATTTTTGAGGAGAAGGATCTTAACGGGATTGTTACGTTCAATATCTATTAGTGATCTATCTGATTTATATTTTTCTCGCATACTTGTATAACGCTGTAAACAATGAAACAATATATCTAGGTTTAAAAAAATCCGGTTTTAATCTATTTTTTTCTTGTAATGTAAAATCAATTATATCTTTAGAAATCCATTATAATCAATTTTGCAACGATTAAAAATCAAATAAAAATTGAATTTTTTTCGTTATTTTTTTTATATGGGAATAATCTGTTCGAATTCTCTGTTACTTGTTAGTCTGTTTCAAACTCTCATTGCTTATTAATCAGTTTTTTATCGATCATCACTTCTAAAGAAATTTTAATGATAGACATCGAAGTTAAGTGTTGTTTTCGAGATTCGAACGTGAAATACTGAATTTTTTGTATTTTTTTAGATTGCTCGTATTTGAAAACTGTGAAGTTATTACCAAGTTATGGTTCGGCAAATAAAGTGAAGTTGAAACTGCTATATGAATCGTTTCAAATTGAGGTAGTGCAATTAAATCATAAATCGATTAGTCTTGTAAACTAGAGTTAAATTGCATAATATAACGAAAATAAGAGTAGAATTAGTTATCTATGAGTTGAATCATTGATAGTCTGTCTTCATCATTCTGAAGACTTGCTCTCAATCAGAGTTGGAACCGGACAGGTTTTTTGTATCCGGTCCGGTCCGGCCAGTAGAAAAACCTGTACGGTCCGGTCCGGTCGGAATCCGACCAGTTCATTTTCGAAGTCAAACTGGCAAAAATCCGGCAAAAATTGGAACTTAAAAGAAGCTTGTTTACGAAAAATAGTAAGTGAAGTAAAATTTTCGATATTTACATGTGGATATTTGAAGTAGACCGTCTGAATATATATTAAAAAAACAGCTTCCTTGTATCAGATTCCAAGATATCGACTTTTCAAGCTGAAAATGAATAGAGATGAGTCGATTGTATCGAATATCGACTACTCATCGTTATTTAAAAACAAAAAATCAAGCTCAGTAATAACTATCGTGAATGACGCATATTTTTCTCTTTTTCTACTAAGAATCGTTCAAGAAGATCAAGGCAGAAGAACTGCTTGATTTTGTGGTGGATATGATGGTCGTCAGAGAGAAGTAGCAAATAGAATAGAACCTATACCTCTGGGTTATAGTTTCCCATGTGAAGCTTTTGTCATGATTCGATGTTCTTGCCAATGGAATCTGACTGAAGTTTTTGAGTCGGTCTCTTTGTGTTTCGAGCACAACTGGCAGTTGTTGTCGAAGAACTCCAGCGATTTCAACTAGCAATCCAATTGTAAAATACATCGGAACATAATGAAACCTGTCGATTCTGATGGTTTTCGACCACTTTCTTATAGATCTGGCAGCCGGAATAGTTGACGTAGGATTTCTCGCTTTCATGTCTTAAACTTTCCGTCTTTTCCTAATTACCACAATCATTGCACCGATCGGCTATTGCTCTAGCAACTGCAATCGTTCCATAAGACAGAAGCAGTTCTCTTGCTTCTTTCTGTCTATTTCTCATTTTGAGTACTATTCTATTCATCTTTTTAGTTGAAAATGTAGAAAAAACTCGTTCTTCGGTGAAAAATCATCAAATACGAGCAACCATTTTGCAATGATGAACTGGCAAAAATCCGGTTTTGTCCGGCCGGATTTGATTTCTCGTCCGGTCCGGCCGGACCGGTTCCAACTCTGCTCTCAATAATATATAGTCTGAACAAGAAAACAACCAATCTACACTTGGTGGTACTATAGCATATATTGACATTTGATATGATGGTTTGATTGGTCATCGAAGTACAAACTGCTAACTCTCTTAGAGCCGGTCGGGTTACTCTCGGATCGATACCTGACTTGGCTCGGAAGGGTAACGATCTTGTGTAGCTGACCCACACACACTCGATACCAGCACTTACGCTCTAGATTAGATCCATGAAAAAGTCTTTTGCGATAAATCGGTTTTGGATGCGACATAGTATCATTCTGTTATAGAACATCTACATCCATAGATATTATGAAGTAAAGAATCAAATTGATTTAAATGTAGGTTGTCAGTTCAAAATAAGATTATATGTAAATTTAATTGCTCAGATTTTTAATTAATTATAATCAAAAGTTACATTTGGTTTAATTGAAAATTGCTAGTTTTAGTCAATTTACAATAATCGATTTTAATTTGATGTTTATCCATTTGTTTTTACGTGGAATAAATACTTGAAAGTACTTACTATCCTAATAAATTTTGTTTTTAAAGATAAGCACTCTATCAAGAATACCAAAGAATTTAACTGAAAGATTTTATAACACAGAACTAGAACCCGACGAAACCAAAGAAAAAAAATGGTTGTTCCATAATAATTTTAATGTTAGGTGTGAAATAGTAGTTCTATTCGACTCTTTGTAGTCAGAATGTTCTCCTCTTCAAAATGATGTATAGCACTCGGAGATATTATAATAGACGACAGAAACAACTGCGACACATTCATCGTGATTAGAACTAGTCACATCGGACTCTACACAAAACTTAAGAGAAGTGTTGAAGTATATAAGGTAGAAATTTGCACTTCCTCTCTGGTCACAGAGATAGTTAATATATGATTATAGATCGTATATTAATAACTTCTCGTTATAATATATAAACTACTTCCATATTATGTTTCTCGAGGATTAAATAAAATGATAATGAAAAAATGTATCACAAAATAGATAGAATAAGACAATCTCCGTTTGATTAGCAAGAATAGTTACATGATGTTTCATATTGTAATTCTGTAGGGATTATAATGACATCTTTTTTTAATTTCGAGACTACAATTTGACACATATTGTTCAACGAGATGATCCTTGAATTTAATCTTCTTTCGATTTCTATAGAATATTTTTGTATTTTCTAAATAATTATATTTAAATTCTTAAATTTTTTTAACCGAGCGAATTAATAACATAAGATTTATAATTATCAGACTTGTTATTGTTTTTTTTTTTTTCTTATGTTTATTTATATCTTTCGATGATAACTACTAAGACACAAAAACGACAAGAATTTCTATAGATTCAAGTCAAAAACAAAAATACACAAAGAACTTAATGAAATGAAACTAATAGAATAACAAAAGATTGTGAGATTTATTTTCCACCAGCAGCTTGTTTGCGTAATAATTGAAAAATTTCTTGTTTAATCCATTCTTTATTATGTGGTTTATATTGACCTGTTTGTTTTTGAAAAACTAAACAACTTAAATCAGATATTTGATCAATAAATTCAAATAATTCCGATATATCATATGTTATTGATGGTGATGTTGGATTACGTTTTTTTAAATGTTCTTCAAATACTTTACAAACACCTATAAAAAGAAAAGTTGCTTTTTTTTTTTTAAATTTTATTTGATTTTTGTATTCATTTTTTACCATCGAGACATTCATCAACTGATTCATAATCAGAATAAGTACGTGAATCAAGTTTATTTGTTGATTGAAGAAGAAGAATTGTATGTGACATATCTAAAATTTATTCAATAAAAACCAAAAAAAAAAAAATACTTTCCTTCTCCTTATTATATTTTTAATGAAATTCATAATGACAAAATGACTCTCTTTTTCATGAATTATTTAATAGAAAAAAAAAACCATTTTATTAGTATCAGAAATATACAGAAGTTTTTTTTCAGAAAGAAAATTTTGGTAAGTAGCCATTACTGTGAAAGATCATTATGAAGAGAAAATAAGTTTTGACTAAAATGGGACTAATCGTCAGGGGTGTAACTCAGGTACCAGAGCAGGAGGGGTGTAACACTATTTTTTCTATTTTCATCACCAAAAAAACCAAAATTTTCAAAAGCAAGGGGGGCGTAAACCCCTTTTTTCCTACTAATTTTCGGAAGCAGGGGGGGGCGTTACGCTCCACCCTAGTTACGCCCCTGCTAATCGTGTTTTATTTACAACATATCAATATGAGTATTACTCAGTCCTATAGAATCTAGTAGTGTGTGTGTGTCAACGCACTTGGGAAGAAACATTCATTTGGGAATTCGAATAAAGAAATGTTTATATTGTAGCAATAAGAGTAAAAACTTTGTACACAGCTTCTGTTAATTGCTGACTAATTTTTTTGTATGTTAAGTAAACCAATTTCTCTTCGCCTTTCTTCGAATGTGTGAATGAAAAAAAAATATCCGGCTTTTTGTTTTACCGGTAAATTCTGCACTTCTAAGTTCATAACTCAGGAAAAGAAGAGTGTTATGGATAAAGCAGACTATCATTATATAATATCTTATTTCAGCTATTTGTCATACAAGTTTTATGGAAGTTCGTTAAGTTATTTAAGGAGTGTAATTATTTTACTGTAACCATAAGTATGTAAAAAAACAAATCATTTATTATTCTTTGAAGACTTATAACTCATTGATAGTTTAAAGAATTGACCTGAAACTTTCAGAGAAGTTTTTTTTTTTTAATAATTTGGCGTTGTTGTCTACATGTTTCAGAATCAAATATTGTACTAAAGAGAATGAACTACTTATTTTTAGATGAAAAATAGTCATAGACTCCAGTTTAGTACAACGCAAAATTAATCGAAATTAATCATATATTTAACGGAAAACAGAACAAATTTTAGTAGGCAGGGTGTCGGGTCTGAACGTTAGTGTAGATCTTCTATTTTCTCATACACACTCATCATGGAAATGTATTATGTGATATACAATAACGATAATGTCTATGATAGACGCCTCAAAGCTTTCTACAACGGTTTTTTTAGAGTGACTAAACTACCGTTATAAACGAGAATGTGCCTGGTCGATAAATTAGGAATACCAATATTCTATTTCAACAGTTGACTTATCAGTGGCTCTTCTAGAATTGCTAGGGAAGTGGGACAGAATTAAACAGAAAACATTTCGCTTCAAATAATCTCGCATAGAATATGATAAATCCGTCAGAAAATTACTTAAATAAATTTTCAAAGTAATAAAACACTTAAATAAGAAAGTGAAGTTGAATTGTGTATTACTATCATCATACTACCAACTAACTCATATTCATCTATACTTCTCTACCGGAATGAAACGTTCAAAGCTGATAGAAAATCTCATTCTCAAAAACCTTTTGATATTAATCTTATTGAATCATTTGGACAAATCCATCGAAATAACCTTTACATTCATTTCATTAATTACTTTTTTCTTTTGCTCAATAATTATTAAAAAAAAAACTTGGCAAACAAATATATTTCTATCTCATCCACTGAGAAAACCATCGCGCACATGACACATTCTATAATTTACCCGATAGACGACACTTAATTTGATTAAAAAGAAAAAAAAGTTTGCGCATTCAATATGTCGACCAGACTATAGGCAACTATTTATTTTTATCCTGAACTGAAGAACAATTTTCTATTGGTCGATAACATAATATTCTAATGCATCAATGCACTTACATTCTATGCAAATTGTTTATCATATAAACAAGAGAATATTAATTATTTTATTTAATTAAAATAATAAATCAATGTATTTTGAATAAGAAAAAAAACGGTTATAAAGGACAATCTGATCTAATCATGAGCGTCAACTGTCAAAATTCGATCATCTTACCGGAAAAAAATATAGTTTTCCGGTTTCCAGAAAAAAATAATCTAAAATTTTAGGTTGTTAATTTAAGCGCTGTTTTCTGTTTTTTGATTTAATATTTATTATTATTCTTCTTCTCAATGTTAAATATTGATCAGTAGAAAAATTTCTTTTATTTTAAATTTCATAATTTGAAAATAATTTTCTTCTAGATTAATACATCAATGGAATGATTTTATTGATCGTTTAAAACAATTAATTTATTTATTATCTCAATATGAAAAAATTCATTTTAATTATATTCATTCATCATTATCAAATACAAAACCAAATGTGAATAAAAATGAAGAAAAATTTATTAGAAAAGACAATATTCAAGATGAATTATTAACAATTGAAAAAATAAAATATATACAAATAGATAAAAATATTCAAAATATTCAATTTAATCTTAAAACAAATGAAAACATTATTGACAAAGCAAATAAACGACTGGATGGTAGAAGAAATATTTTTTTTGTTTTTTGTTTTTTTTTTTTTTGAAAAAAATTTTCTATAGTCGTTCGTCAGGAAATGAATGATATACAATCATTTATAGATTCAATAAATGAGTGGAAAAAACGAACAATACAAAATCTATAAATGAGTAAGTTGATTGAAAATCATCAGAGAATTGAAGTCTCCTGAGTGATAATTTACATAAACAAGGAAGAGAGATCTACAATATTATCGTTAAAAAAAATAAGGAATAGAAATCATAACAATCAATATGATATTAGACAAACGAAATGATAAAGATCGGACATTATCTCTTCCTTAATCGAATCTAAAAAATGTTCTTTTTCATAATAAATCTTTAAATCATAACGTCAGAAAATCAATAATCAATAGCTGTCTAACAAAGAAAGAGTCTCAAGTGTGACTCGCAAATTGAACTGATATTTTACTTGTAAATAGGCTCTGACGAGATTACTAGAAGTCTATAAGGGTTCATCTCCATGCATTATCCTTCCTAAATTATTACCAGTATTTTATCCAGAGTGAGAATCGACGGAGCGGCATTCTTCTGAAGATCAGGTTAAACCTCTGGGGAGTTTATGGTTGATTCTATATGTTTATGGTTGATTCTATATGTTTGTACTCTCAACAATAAATGTTCGCCTATTCTGAAAATAAAACACTGATTATTACAATTTTAATAAATTTTTTAATTTCTAGCAAGGTATTTGTTAAACAATCGAACAATGAAATTTTGCCCATAGGTAGATTTCGTGGATATATGACTGTTTTTGAGATATTCACGAAATTTACCTATATGAATAACTTCATTGTTTCACAAATACTTTGTCCGAGATAAAAAGTTTCGTAAAATTGTAATAACTTGGGAAGGACAATGCATGAGAACACAGTCTTATAAGCTCCTAGTAGTCTCGTCAGAGTTTATTTATTGGCAAAATATCAATTCGATTGTTAAGTTATACTTGAACGCGTTCTCTCGTAAGTTGAAACGACTAATAATAAGAATTCGTTTCAAATATAGAAAATGAATTAAAATCTATTTAGTTAATATTTAATAAAATTTACTTATCTAATTTAATGAAATAGGTTTATTACATAAGCATGAACGAATCAATATTTGAATTTAAATAATTTTATCATTTAAAATAGATTTAAACGCTATTAGAAAAATTTAACAATTTTATTCGAGTTTGCCTATAAAACAAATCGCAGTCGAATCTCGATTCTCATTCTTCTAATTCTCATTAAAATAGATATCGGCGTTGATAAGCTAAACTCGAGAAAACAATATATATATGTATATAGTAACTCCCAACATTATTCAACCAGACTTATTTTTCAATGCCTTAAATGCTAAGAAAAATTCACATAATGATTTGATTCCAAGTTTTGCAGCTTCTAGAATTCTCTTTGATCCACCAAATAATTCTCTATAAAATGAAACGTCTTCCAGCTCTCTACAATACTTTCTGATCTACGGAATGCACAAAAATCGTTTTGTTTTTCTGTTATTTCCATTGTTATATGCCTTCTATAACATTGATATATCTTAGTCACAGCGAAAGAGTCATTCAAAAAAAGACATCTGTCACGTAGTTTGTCAAGTCGCTCCGATATGGAAAAAATGTTGTAGACAATGTTCTCTACTTAAATTACTCTATAGATTCTTCTCAGTGTTTATAGTATCGAAAAATAAATTTAGTCGAATAATTTTATGAGTGATTGCATACATCATGAAAGTATATATTCGAATAATAAAATATTCCAATCATGCAAGTTTTATAATAATAAAAGTTATTTATTATTAATCGATCATCTCCGTCGAATATGATCTAGTCCTTAAAAGTAATCATTCTATCTACTAGTTGTATCTTTTTATTTTTTGTATTAATGATGAAAAAAAATAAATCCATACCATACTTTTTATTTTTTCTGAACAAATATTGTTTAGATCTTGAGATATATTGATTTTTCAATATTATCTGTTAAAAACAACAAGACACTGATAGTATCATTTAGTACGTTTTTGTTTTCTTTTTATATCTGTAAACATTAGCTATGTTATCATTAAAATGTTATAGAATCTTTGTCTAAATATGGTCAATGAGTAATTTTGAATAAATATGGCGTTCCGACTACGCAAACAATTAAGAACTTGTCAAGGCTAGATAAAAATGACAAGATAATATATTATGCTTGATTAAATAGACATTATTTTTGAAAGGTTAATGTTTTTCTTTCTGTTTTTAGTGTATATGGACAAATGGAAAATATTAACTACGTATAATAATATGTGTTGTATTGTCATAATGATTTTAATGTATTTACTTAGATAAAACAATAGCACTATATTCGATCTTTTTTTCTTCCTGAAAAGATCATTTATCGTTTAGATTTATAAGAATATATATATATCTATATATGATCAGAAGATGTTTTTCTTTTTTGCTATAGTTGTGTGTCAACAAAGAATGAACGAACGTACTCATGATTTGTTTTTTCCTGTTCTTCTATCTTTTCTATCTTATATTTCCTCATCGTGCACGTTCGCTTGCATTATCAAGAAAGACAATCACATTTTTATGTTCTTCGTCTTTTTTTTTTTTATATTAGAAGCTCATGTATTGTTGTATTCGTGTTTGTTTAGTATCTTTCAGATCGTTCGCCATCAATAGAAGATGACGTCGGTCAAAGTAGCCGTTCGTGTTCGACCATTTAATGCTCGTGAACGAGCACGTCAAGCCAAATGTATAATTCGCATGGATCAAAATGAACAAACAACATTTATAAGAAATCCAATTGATGATACAATAAAACATTATAAATATGATTATTCATATTGGTCATGTGATGAAAATACAAATAATGAAAAATTTGCAACACAAAAACAAGTTTATCAAGATTTAGGCATTGAAATGTTAGAACATGCATTTGAAGGATATAATGTTTGTATATTTGCCTATGGACAAACAGGTGCCGGAAAATCTTTTACAATGATGGGAAAAAATGAAATAGAACAACAAGGTATTATTCCTCGTTTATGTGGAGAATTATTTGAACGTATAACATCATCAACAACTCCACCAATATCATTATCATCATCTCATATAAAACCACGTTATACAGTTGAAGTATCATATATGGAAATTTATTGTGAACGTGTACGAGATTTACTTTCACCAAAAAAAAGTCAATCAAGTTCACATAATTTACGTGTACGAGAACATCCTATTATGGGACCATATGTTGAAGATTTATCTCGTTTACTTGTAACATCTTATGATGATATATCAAGATTAATTGATGAAGGTAATAAAGCTCGAACAGTAGCAGCTACAAATATGAATGAAACATCAAGTCGATCACATGCTGTATTTACAATATTATTTTCACAATCAACATATGATAAAATGACAGATTTAACAGCTGAAAAACAATCAAAAATTTCATTAGTAGATTTAGCTGGAAGTGAACGTGCTGATGCAACTGGTGCAACAGGTGATCGTTTAAAAGAAGGTGCAAATATAAATAAATCATTAACAACACTTGGAAAAGTTATTGCAGCACTTGCTGAAATGGTTTGTTAATTAATCAAGAGAGAAAAAATAAACCCATTAATAAAATTATTCAAATATTTTAGAGTTCAAAAAATCGTAAAACACGTTCGGAAAAAAAAGGTGATTTTATACCATATCGTGATTCTGTATTAACTTGGTTATTAAAAGAAAATCTTGGTAAGTTATTAAGTAGAATTATTCTTTTTTGTTTGCTTTTGAAAAATTTCTATCATGAAAATGGTAAAATCAAATTGACTATTAAAAATACGTATGTAAGAATAACATTTACTAACACAAATTACAAACTAAAAGAAAAATAATTAATTTAAATCAATGATAAGATTTCCTTTTTTTTTTTTCTTTTACTTCATCTAGGTGGTAATTCAAAAACAGCTATGATAGCAGCAATATCTCCAGCTGATATTAATTATGAAGAAACTTTATCTACACTTCGATATGCTGATCGTGCAAAAGCAATTGTTTGTAAAGCTGTTATTAATGAAGATGCAAATGCAAAATTAATACGTGACTTAAAAGAAGAAATAATTAAATTACGAGAATTATTAAGACATGAAGCTGGTATTGATATATCACCAGATGGTATACCAACATCAATTGTATCTACAAGTACTACTAAACATCCACGATTAAAATCTTCTTCATCACAAAGTAGTGAAGATGCATTAGAACGTTTAAAAGAAAATCAAAAATTAATGGATTCATTATGTATGTCATATGAAGAAAAATTAAAGAAAACAGAAAAAATTATGGTAGAAAGGTATAAATAAAGATTTATAAACAATTGAAATAATAGGATTAAGTGTTTTTTTTTTTTTTTAGAGAAGCAGCTTTTCATGAACTTGGTGTTTATTCAAAAAATGATGGAAATGCTGTTGGGATTTTTTCACCAAAAAATGTAAGAATTTATATAAAATAAATATAATAATGAAAATTTATTATTATTATTTTAGTCTCCTCATTTGGTCAATCTTAATGAAGATCCATTAATGTCCGAATGTTTAATGTATTTTATTAAAGATGGTACAACTCGGTAAGATAAATTATTTAATCGAATGTTATGAAAGACAATGCTAATAACTATCATCTTCACTCATAAATTTATAAATGTTCTTATAAGTTAAATTATTGAAATTAAAATATTTTTGTCTACTTTCAATATTTAATAATTTGAAGTTCTTTGATACTTCTAGAATATTAGGAAATTTTGATTTCTAAAATCTGACATTTGTAAACTATCCATTTGAATGGAAACTCAGAAATAAGAGTTTAGTAATTGGATACAGCGATCGATTATACCTAGTTATTGTCGATTTCAATGTTTTGTTTTTATCTAGTGTTGGCCGTCCTGATGCACCTGTACATCAAGATATTGTTTTATCTGGTTCACATATAGAACCTGAACATTGTATAATAACAAATTCTCAAAATATTGTTCATTTAAAACCATGTAGTGGAACAGCAATGTGTTATGTTAATGGAAAAAAAGTTAATTTTAATACAACTGTTGATTTAACATCTGGATCTCGTGTTATATTTGGTAAATCACATGTTTTCCGTTTTCTTAATCCTGAACAAGCACGAAGAAAAAATACAAAAACAGAATCATCATCTGGTGGTAAATTTTCTTCCAAAATAAAATAAAATAATCTTTTTGTTTGTTTTTTTTTTGCTTTGGATTATATAGAACCAACTGATTGGAATAGTGCAATACAAGAGTTATTAGAAAAACAAGGTGTTGATATAAAACATGAAATGGAAAAAAAGTAAATTTGTTTTTCCTATTAGAAAAGAAAAAAATTTGTTTTTTTTTTTTATTTTGTTTTTCTAAAGACTTTTAACAATGGAAGAAGCATTCAAAAGAGAAAAAGAAGAAGCTGATCGTCTTTTACGTGAACAAAAACTTGAATATGAATCTAAAATAGTTGAATTACAAAAACAAGTTATGGAAACATCAATGAGTCAATCAATGCTTTCATCTATATTATCATCATCAGGTTTTGTTGATACATCATCATTTAAACAAAATCCATTTCAACAAGATTATAATGAAAATGATAATGACACACTTAATTGTAAGAAATAATAAATATTTTGTTTTTTTGTTCATATATTTTGTATTTCAGATTGTTCTTGGTCAGAACAAGATTATCAATTAGCTTGGTGGGCATGGAAAAAATGGCGTTATCATCAAATGACATCATTAAAAGTAAGTTTTTTTTTTATTTTTGAAATAATAATTTTTATTCATCGACTTTAAATAGGATTATTCAAATCGTATTCAACCCATTTGGTTGATTAAGGTATATTGATGTTGTTTTGTCAAAGAAAACAAGAGTAGTCTAAAAGATTGGTAAAACATACTTTGAGCATCGTTTTACTTCGAACATATATCAGTCGATAGAACTGAAAATTCTAACTCTGCTGGACTCTACTCTGAACTAACTTCATCTAACGCACATTTATTTATTTGAACGTTTGGCTCAGAATTTGAAGCTCCATCGACTGGTATAAATTCCAAGTAAAATGACGCTCATTCCAAATTTTCCTGTACTAAGAAAAATCAGCGTAAAATCTTGAACCTATTGAATAAGAGCAGTAATCTGTAGCACAATGTAATGGCATATAAAATTGAATGACAAAAAACAATTAATGGTCTTGACTTAATCCAACCATGAATTAACTATGCAATCTTCTATAACGACCAATATTATTGCAAAAATGCATATTCAACATTGTGTGGATTTTCAAAAATAAAAATGTCAAATGATACTAAAATATTACAAATCTTTGTTAAACAATCGCTGAAAAAAAAGTCAACATTTTGAAAAAAGTTTATTGAATATTATTTTTCATACATTTTAAGTTTAAAAGTTAAATTTACTTTCTCAAATTATCTTATACACTGATTTTTCTTAATACTGAACAATTGTTATGATAATCTTCATTTAAGCTCATAGTATAGATAAAACTCCTAAAAGAGTTGGTGCTATTAGGCCTTTCTTCTCGAGTTATGGCTGTTTTATTGAACTTTTGTAGGATATCATGAGAAAAATTATAACAAAGAATTTCAAAACAATCCCAATTTTTAAGCGTACGATATCTTAAGAAGAAATCATCCGCTTGTCACATATATTGCTTGTCGAATATGAACGCTTAATAAATAATTTTTATATTATCTTTAAACTCTGCTTATTAAATATTCCAATATATTTTAATTATTGATTTATGTTTTTTTTTTTCTTTCAAAATTTTATTCATTTTAAAATATTAATTTATTATTTTCTTAGGATCTTTTATGGGCTAATAGTGTTTATTTAAAAGAAGCAAATGCCATAAGTGTTGAATTACAGAAACGTGTACAATTTCAATTTGTTCTTTTAACTGATACACTTTATTCACCATTACCTACTGATTTATGTTTATCACCATCATCATTACAACGTACAATTGTTGCTGTTGAAGTACAAGATTTAAAAAATGGCGCACGACATTATTGGACATTAGAAAAATTTCGGTAAGTTAATTTTTCCACAGGAAAAAAAAATCAATTTTTTTTTAATGCCACTTTTATGCTTCACGAATAGTACATTAACACGAACCTTTTTTTTTTTTGAAACAAAATATTGAGAAACTCTTTCGGAACTTCAATAATCTTCTTTTTTTTTTGTTCACATATATCCGAGTTTGATTCGGACCGGGTTGGATCATAAAAATTTGATCCATGTAGGTTCCTAATATATATTTGTTTGAGCTTTTTTGTTTTTTTATTCATTTATGATACATTTTTTCCTAAGATTTTTATGTCTGTCAGGAAATATTTCCGATCAATTTTTTTCATATATGTTTACACCAGACATTTCATTCTTCTTAAAAAGTTGAAATTTCGAGGATATTACATCATAACGGTATATCAAAAAAAAAAAAAATTCATGCAAAAATTTTATTCGGTACTATTTCTCAAGTGTAGATAAAATATTAATCTTTTCTTTTTAATCTAAAACTATAAATTTGAATATCCTCTCGAATCTACATCCGCACACACACATATAGATCGCGTCTGGAAATTATGCGTCATATATACAATTGTGAACAAATATCAATACCACGTGCAGTAAGTTATAATGATATGAGCGATTCATCATCGCAACATATTATTATGACATCTGATACTCGACATTCAAGTTTTGATGATTCAATTCCAACTCCAACTCCAGCTGTTAAAGGACAATTTGATTTTTCATCAAAAGCCAGGTTCGTGTATGTTGTAGTCATTATATATTGTATATCATAAATATATTACGAAATTTATATGTTATAAAATAAATTTATTTTCTGAATTTTTTCTATTTTTTAAAAAATAGACAACGACTTGAATTAATGCGTGAAATGTATACAAATGCTGCTGATATTTCACCAACATCACCTGATCAAAATCTTGAATCAATATTAACAGGTGATATGTCAACAACTACAATTCAAAATGATCCATTTTATGATCGTTTTCCTTGGTTTCGACCAATTGGAAGGTAAAAATTAAATTCTTTTATTTCGAATTTTTTTTTTTATTTTTAAATTATTTTTTATATTTTTCTCAAGAGCATTTGTTTATTTAACAAATCTTTTATATGGTATACCATTAGTACAAAATGTTGCTATTGTATCTGAACATGGTGAAATAAAAGGTTATTTAAAAATAGCTGTACAACAATTACAAACAACTGATACACCTAATGAACAAATTAAATTAATGAGAACATATAGAAATGCAAGTGGAATGACAAAAATTGTCTTTGATGATGAAAATTATTTTCAAGTATGTTTATTTTATGAAATATAATCTATAAACATTCACCTGCCTGGAGTTATAGATGTTGTTAATATACGATTAAAGACTGTAGTTATAAAAAAAAATTGAACCATTTTCTTATTGCATTTCTAGAGGATTGAGTAAATGTGTCTTAAAATAGACCGAATAAAACAATCTCTCTATAATTAGCAAGAGCAGTTACATTGTGTTTAATCCCACACAGATTACACTAATAGCTTTTTTTGTTTTTGTATAGAATAAAAATATATATATATGAAGATAGAATAGATATTAAAGAAGTCATGTTTTTTCATATTAAATTTTCGCTAATTTAATATCATAGGTGTCAAAAAATGAGTTTGTTCTTCTTCTTTTTTTTTGATTTGGTTAAAGTGTTGTGACATTTATTCAAATGAATCTGTTCGATCAAGCCTAAAAATGATAAAAATTGAATTAAAAAGAAGATCGAACAATTATTTATGAATGAAATAAAATCGAAATTTGATAGAATTGTTTTCTATTTAACAAGATTTTTTGTATAAGCATCTAAGCTAATTAATCGAAGAAACAATTTAAATATAGTCATTTTTCGTCAAAAATAAATATTGTCTTGAGTAGTGATGTATGAGATCAGTTTAGTACTGCGACCAGAACTAGAACTTGTAGTTAAATTTTCCATGATTTGTAGCGAATTATATAATAAATCATTTAAGATTTTTTTTTAAAGATTTAATACAGACAAATTCTGAAATAGTATTCTCTAAGTTGAGATCGGATCGACACCAACATAAAAAAAAGAGAAACTTGTTTCCGCACATCTGTCAGACTTTGATCTGGATCTTAAGGCAACTATTCCAGAATTTATTCGTATAATATCTAGAAAAAAAATTCTTAAATACTCGTTTTTTTTTTTATTTATTCAGCTATTGTCGATAGTTTTTAGAAAGGAGGAAAGAACAAAACTCATCATGACCCGGCCACTCACACTACAGACGATCTGTTACCAGGTTGTCCCTCTCTCTCACTCTTAGTCACTTTGTAATGGTATTGTCTGCTTTTTTTCATGCCAGAGAAGGGCAAATGATATTTTATGAAGTGGCAGAAAGTCGAACATTAGGAGGGGAGAGTCTCCCTAATCGAGAACCATGATTATCTTTCTTGAATTATTTTTTTATTGGTATGATTTATAAGATGGCTAGCTTAAAATCTAACTATAATCTTTTCTCGAAATATTATGTTTTTCGATATTGATAATATTTCAGGAATTTAAAAAAAAAAAAAAGAAAATTTTAATCATCAAACAATTATTTTACTTTTTAAGAGTATGAAAAGTTCATCTACGGCTGATTTAACAAAAGCATGCGATTCTTCAGATCCATATTTTCGTTATGTCGAAGGGCAATCTCAATTTGGTCTTAATGATATTTCACAACAAAAAACAATTTCTGATTCTTCACCATCATCTAATCTTTCTAGTAAATATATTTTAAATCCTTATTATTTATTTATTTTTGTTTTTTTTTTTTATAAAAATATAGAAGAATCTCAAATAATACTTAAAAATGATAATTCATCAAATGAATTCGTACCACAACTTGGTGTTGAATATCAATTTCGTGTAACAGTTTTAGAAGCATCACAAATATCATCGGATTATGTCGATATTTTTTGTCAATTTAATTTTTTACATCAACATCAAGAAGCATATTCAACAGAACCACTTAAGAATCAAGGCAAACCAGGACCACCATTAGGTTTTTTTCATGTACAAAATGTAAGATTAAAATAAAAATTTTATTTTCTTACATATAAAAAGAGAAGAAAACAAAAAACATGTTTGTCGTCTTTTATAGTTCAGTGTTATTGTAACACATTCATTTATTGATTATCTTCGAACAAAACCAATTGTATTCGAAGTCATGGGTCATTATCAAGAACATTTAAGTCCAACAAAAACTAGGTAATGAAAATTTATTCTATAAAATTTAATTTTCATAAAAAAAAAATCAAATTATATTTAGTTCAACAACAACAAATTGTTTATCAGCAACAACTTCAGCATCATTAACTTTTTCAAAACCAGTTCCTGCTCAAACACTTAATCCAATGACAGCTGTTAGGTTAGTTAAATCTACATGATTATAAATAGTAAATCTGAATGAGAAAAAATCATCACAGTAGACATAAGTTATAAAATTTGAATAAATCTCGAAGAAGAAGCAAAAAAGTTTTTCTCTGAAACTTTGAGAATATCTTAAAGATCAATAAACATTTTATCGTTCGTTTTAGAACTAAATTTAATTTTCTTTGATTTTTTTTTTTTTTTTTCTTCTAATAGTACAACAAATCAAGTTCATGCTACACATGATCTTCTTGTTTGGTATGAAATTTTTGAATTATCACCTACTGGAGAGTAAGTTTCTTATTTTAATCGATAGAACAAAAAAAGAAAGAAAAAACGAAATCTTTTATTTTCATTAATAAATAGATATGCTGCTGCAACAGTTGATCATTCGGATGATGTTCCATGTTCAGGTCGATTTATTCTTCATCAAGGTATTCAACGTCGTATTGGAATAACTCTTTGTCATGAATCTGGTTCAGAACTTATTTGGAAAGATGTACAAGAAGTTGTTGTTGGTAAAAAAAAATTTTTTTCGATAAAAAAAGAACAAAATTCAATACTTTTTTTTTGTTTTTTTCTAAAATAGGTCGTATTCGTGGTCAACGTGATTCAGTTTTTGATGAATCTGATGGTCAAGTATTATCATTAAATGTAATTTCAGCACATTATATTCAAAAACAACATGATGAACGAACATTTTATCATTTTGAAGTTGCATGGGATTCATCATTACATAATTCATTATTACTTAATCGTTGTACATCAAGTGGAAATTCTGTTTATTTAACAATATCATCATATCTTGAAATCGAAAATTCTTTTCAACCAGCTATAATAACAAAAGATCTTTGTCTTGTTTTATATCCACGTGGTGGTGATTCAACATCACGTATACGTTCATCATTAAAAAATTTTTTCTTAGCAACTAATTCTATAACATCATCATTTTATGATTCAATAAATGAACATTCAAATCGTGTATCAGCTGTTTATGAATTAAAATTACGACGAGCAACACCAATGAATATTATGACACAAGATTCATCATTAATTAATTCTGATATACAACGACGACAAAGAACAAAAATTGATACATCAAAAATTTATGTACGTGGTGAAGAAATGTTAAATGGTTGGAGACCAAGAAGTGATTCATTAATTATTGAACATCAACAAGATTTAGAAAAATTATATAAAATTGAACGTGTAAGTTTTTTTGTTTTTGTTTTTTATTGTTTAATTTAAAATATTTGATTAAATTTTAATTAGGTTGAATATACAAAACATTTTCTACAAGTAAAAAATCGTTTAGAAAATCCATTAACATCACCAAATGATAATTCACCAGAAAAAATTAAATATTCATTAAATTCAATTGATCCATCAATACCAATTGATAATCGTCAACAAGATTTACTTCGTCGTTGTGTATCAATGATGTTACCACCACCTTTAATTCTACATAAATTAACTATACCAGAAATTGAAGTAAATAATTCGTTTGTTTTTTAAAAATTTCAAAAACAAAAAAAACTCTTTTATTTCTATGAAATAAATAGGTCACTACTGATCATCGTTTATCATCCGATGATTTTAGAACAGTTCATTCATTACTTAAATCAGCATCAACATATTCATTTAATACACAACCATTACATATGAATACAGCAAATATGATTAATTCATTTATTAAAGCATCTTCTAGTAGTTCGGATCTTTCAAGGTAAAAACAAAAGACAAAAAAACTAGAAGTAAAATAAAAATCTCTTAACAATAAAGAATATCATATCAATCGTTTTTGTAAAATATGATCTAAAAGGTGGAGAAAGATGACTATAAGATTTTGACTACAGAACGATGTATATGTATGTAGACTTCGAGAGAAAGACTTTCTCTAATCAAAAATCATTGAAAAATTTATAACCACCTGTGAACTTTCTATACCCATCACAGATGTCTTAACGATACCTGTTTTCTCCATTACGGATCTTGACATAGAGTGACGAACATTTACTACGTCGAATAATACAAAGCTCAAAATAGTTTTTAAAAAAATTCTTGAAAAAAATATAGGCAGAAGTATTTCGGAGTAAATGAAAACCGTATGTTTGTCTGCTTATGCAAAAACCCTTCATTGTGTGACGAACATCTCTCCTCTGCCGTAGGTCATAACAGTAGAAACCTACAGGTTTTGTCATACGAAGCAAGACATATGAAGAAAGTACAATTCTACTAAATTATCTCGACTATGAATCGCTCAAGCTGATCAGTTTTTGTTGTAGATTTTGACTAGAAGTTTTCGAACAAAAGAAAACCTATACTCAACAAATTATAAATTTCAATTTCGTCGATCTACACAAGATTGAGTTGTCTAACTTATTCAATTTAACAGTTATAAATGTTTTACTTCAAGCTTTAAAATCAGTCAATTTAAACTATACTAAATTTAGAATATTCGACTAAACCGAGTTGAATGATAATGTTCATTTGAAATTAAGAATAATCATCACCTTTCGACTCAACTTACGAGGAAACCACCCGAAATGATTCACTGCTTTTGCACTCATATTTTGGTCATATAGAGTAGACCTATAGACTAGAATAACCCTAAAAGGATTCGGGTCCATAGGTCTCCTCTATATGCTCAAAATATAAGCTCAAAAGCGATGAATCATTTAGGACGGTTTCCTCGTTAGAGTCTAATATTCCAATTTCAGTATAAATCTACAGCTGAAAACTGACCTGCTTGACTAATTCATAGTCGAGATAATTACTTTCCTCGCATATCTTCAAATAGTGAAAATTGCAGATTTCTAGCTGACTTCGTTCTCGAGATATTCAACAAACATCGAAATGTATTATATTTTAGCACTAAGAATAGTTTCAATGTATTGTAATAATTATTTGACAAACAAAATCAATAAATTTCTTTCCTATTTAATAGATTTGCACATTTGGATCCATCTTATTCAATATCATCAGTACATCGAATTGGTGGTATGACTGGTTCAATATCACCTAGTATGCCAAAATCACGTTCAATGGAAAGTTTAATGAATACATCAGGTATTGCATTAAAATACATTCCATCAATTGAAGAAGTTCGTATATCACCTGTTGTATCACGTCGTGGTTATTTAAATTTTTTGGAAGAAAAAGGAACTGGTTGGATAAAAAAATTTGTTGTATGTATTTAAAAAATTAGAACTATTTTAATTTATTATTTATATTCTTTATAAGGTTGTACGACGACCATTTGCATTTATATATAATCATGAAAAAGATCCTGTTGAACGTGCATTAATTAATTTAGCTACAGCACGTATTGAATTTAATGATGAAGATATAGCAAGTGGAACAAGAGTATGAAATGAATTTAAATATTTAATTAATAATCAAAAAAAAAAAAAATTTTTTTTTTTCTTTTTAGAGTGCTCGTAATACATTTTCTGTTGTATCAAAATATCGTGGTTTTCTTATTCAACCATTAGTTGAAAAAGATGTTCATGATTGGCTCTATGCATTTAATCCATTACTTGCTGGACAAATAAAGTAAAGAAGAAATTGTTTTTTTCTATTGTGATTTTTGATTTAAAAATAATTCTTATTAGATGTCGTTTATCCGGTCGATCAAAAGTAAGTATTGATTAAAATTTGAGAATAATCAACGCTCAAATGGTCAGATTATATGAGGATTACTTCGCAAAATATCATTTTTCCTTTTTTTTGACAATATATTCACTTAACAAAAAAAACCAAGCAACTTTTTTTCTTCTATAAATATATGCTTATAAATCAAAATCAAGAATAATCTAGTCGCTCTTCTTTTTTTTGTATTAATCAAGTATATTTGTTCCTTATTTTTGTTGCTGACAATGTATTGTTGCACGAAATATTTTTTCCATGGAGTTTTATTGGTGTCTTTCAGTGTTCCTTTTCTCGTAATTTTATTTTTGTGTATGTATGTGTATGAAGATAAGTCAATATATATATAAGTGTGTGTGTGTGTGTGTTGCATAAACAGTAACACATCTGTATGGTTTATGTGGTCAATTTTATTTATAAAAATAATAAAATAATATGTCTGTATAAGAATACAATTTTATGTAGAAGATATTCAATGAAAAAAAAGTGGTTACTGTACGTTTCTATACGAAGGAAAAAGTTAAAATATTAGAAGATTTTCAGTTGGAAAAATGTTCAGCGCTCTTTAGAACTGACGGATTATGTCCTAATGAAACACGAAAGAGAAGTACCGACACAACGCATATATAATTTCTATTGTGATTCCTCTGATAATTTCGTAAAAACAACAGTAAATTATTTTAAAAACCAAAGTATTTCACAAATTACGACATACTATGTATTAACAAAGCATTTAAAATATGAAAGCACAAAAGATCGGCCTTGAAGTGGTCGTTTAGTCAAATCATCCAACAAGATTTTGAATGATATTGTTAAATCCGTAAACAATCGGTGTAGTCTTAATCAACGTAAAATGACATGACGATTTCGAGTACACCAGTCAATAATTTCACGTAACCATCGAAGACGAATATCAGTTCTTATAAGAAAAAATTGAAAACCTCCAAAAACGGATAGTAAATAGCAATGAATTCGAACAGAAAAAAAAATTGTGTCAACGTATATCGAAAATTGTTAAATGGTTGTGATTTAATTATGAACAATAAAAAATATTTAAAATTGACCGAAAATAACATCATCGGAAATTATCATTTCTATTCAACCGATCCAGCTATAACTCCTCCAAAACTGAGTTTCAACCGAAAATGAAATTTAAACCAAAACTAATGATTTCTATGGCTATGTCCTCGAAGAGGATTTTGAATATCTATGTTCAGAAAAGCAAGCAAGCTGTCGATCAAGAAATATCTTCAAAAGAATGTATTCATAGATTGAAAACTCTATGAATTCTACATGAAAGAAAAATATATAAAAAAAATTATCTAACAAAAGCTGCTCATCATTTGATTCAAAGAATCCAACGCAAGGCAACAGAATTTGATTAAGAAATGTTACAAGCCATGATTGAGAATGTTCGGAAAAAGCTTCGAGCTATAGTGCGAGAAAAGCTATAGTCAGTTTTCTAAATACAGCTTTTTTGTAATACTTGTCGTGCTATTTCTAATTAAAAACCTAGCTTTCCATCGGACATTCACTACGCTGAGTATTTTGGGCACTATCATAAGCTTTTGTCAGCATATATACGTTCTATAAAACACAATGAGTACACACTTGTTGTCTTCTACAGAAATAAGATCGATCAGTTAACCCTTTCAACTTTGTATAGAGCGAGAGAAAATGTTGGGATTTAAAGGATTAAACCTAGATGGTTATAACAACATCTGTAAAAAGATTGAAACAAGTGATATAAGCCATCTAAGCTAATCTTGTTTTAATGCCACACAAACATATGATGAAATGTATCGCTAGACGAATGCGAAGATAAATATTGACAGGAAGTAAGAATTTTCGATAGAGAACACATGCATTAAATATTGCAGTCTATCTATATACTGCTCTATGTTTAAGATGATCATAAAAGAGTGCAAGATCAAACTATAAAATTTCAACAATAGGCACCATATACCTATTTTTCAATCTTTATAGAGCGTATATGTGTTGACAAAAGCTTGTGACAGTGCTCGAAATACTCAGTGTAGTGCATGTCCTTATGAAACTATTATTTTTTTCTTATATAAAATAATTCATAGTAAATTTTCCCTATAAATACTATATAATTGGTCAACATTGTGATCCTCTTTTCATCCCTAATATAACTTTTTTTTTAAACTTTCTTTTAATCATTTTGTAGAGGAGAAAAAGTTGTACAATATAGCTCAAAATCAGCCCGAGGTCTCATGTAATAACTGGAGGACAGCTGGAATAATGAAAAACATTGACATACGTTTTACTCAAAACATAAGCAGCCATAAGCAGTATTCAACCAATAAAATAAATTTTTTCCATTAAAAAATAATATGTCAATATCTCATTTTGTTCAGCTTTTCATGCTCTATGCTTTGATATATTACACTGAAAATTTTGTAAATTTTCTGTCGGCTAAAATAACTCAACTTTATATTGATGATTTTCGGTCATATCTTTTAAATAATCTTTTGAGTCCTCTATAGTAAAATTGAGCTAACTTTTCATCAGCTCAATCAAATGCACTAAAAGTTTGGATTTAGAGGTTTTAGATAATGCTGAACAAAATGAGAACATCAAATCAAAAAAAAAAAACTAAATTTTATCGGGTGCTTCGATTTCTTGATGGTCTTTCGTGAACCCTCCCTTAAAAATTAGTTTTCTAGAGATTCCATCTAGTCCTGAAACGAAAATTATTGTCTTATCATCACCTAAAGATTCTGAAGAAAGATTTGTACCGTTTAGAATCGACTTTGAACTTCTCATTCAGTTATAAGATGTTTTTTTTTCATCTGATTATTCGCGCTTCATCACGTCACTAACGAAGTGTAAATAGAATTTTTTGAGAAATCTAAGAATGCTCAGAAAAGCAGAATTTTGATATGAAATTTTTATCCATATATAGATCAAATGATCTATATAATATCCTAAAAGTTTCAGCCGAAAACAATGTTATTTTATTGAGATATGGGATCTGCAACAAACAATCATCTGCCATAGGTACTATATAAAAATCGAGTTTACTTCAAAAAATTCAATATGTCAACATAAAAACATGGTGTTTTTTCGGTTGAAACTTTCAAGATATCTTATGAATTATTAGACCTATTTATGGACAAAGTTTGACATCGACATTCCACTTTTTAATTTTGTCGAATATATTTAAAGCTGGATCGAAAATTCAGCAAAAATGATCCTAACTCGAATTTAAGGGTCAATGTGGACAAATTCTTTTAGACTTTTACTAGTCTCATTAAGACATTCTTGTAGGCCTATTATAAACTGAAACAGCATGTATCAGTTCTGATGCTCTCCTTGTAAGTGCGTTCATTATTGTTACTAACCATTAGAATGTACTTCTACTGATGAACAAACCTGACCATCTCATCTCTTGTTCAAACAATATTATAATCGCTTGTCCAGCTCATTCTGTTCTCTTGACAAAAAAAATCGGACTCCACTCATGGTTATAATTTAAGTCTTTAATGATAGGCCTGAAATTTCGACCAAAAAAGAAGATAATTAAAACTGAGATAAATTTTAATTCTATTTAAAATAAAATTCTAAATATATCTAAAAAAGTCAAAATGAATTCTAATCAATCATTTTTTGCATAACACATTTTTATCTTTGCCATAATTTTCAAGTTTTTTCCAAACATCAGTCTGTCGAAAATAAATTCCACGTAAATGTCTTGGTCCCGTAAATGCTTCTCGTGCATGTAACATTTTATAATTATCATAAAGAACAAAGTCTTCACGATTTAATGCAACTTTATATTGACATTGAGGATCATATAAAATTGATGCATATACACGATATGCATTATAATAAGCTGTTGTTAACCAAAATGGAAAATGAAATGGTGCCAAAGTAAAATAACTATGACGAACTTGTTTTATTTTATCATTTTCTGTTTCAATTATTGGACCAATATGAATACTTTCAAATTGTTTTTGTTTTCGATGAAAATGAACTGGTATAGTTGTTAATAAATAATATGCATTTGGATCGATTTCACGAAGATAAAGTGCAGCATCACCAGCGTTTACAAATGTATTAGATCCACCAATGTCTGCTCGACTAATACATTGTAATAATTGCATACCTAGAGACATAAAAAAACGCAATATAAAAAGAAAAAAAAATTTTTAAATTAACATACCTGGTGGATCAGCAATAAATGGTTGATCAGTATGTAAATTAATTGCCGCATTTGTATAACCTAATTGATCTGTATTTTGATTTGTTGTATTATCTGTACGTAAATCTTCAATACGACCAAAATGTGTTTCGACAACTGATGCACCATGAGGTAAAAAATCATTACTATAAAAACAGAAAATTAAATAAAAGCAAATGATATCTTCCGTCCCCCCCCCCCCCCCCCCTTCTCCTCCAAAAAAAGTGACTTACATAAGTTCTTCTGTATCTAAACCACGTTGTCGAACAACAACTAATCCAAATTTTTTTAATCTTTCAGCACAATTTCTTAAATAAGTATCATATTCATTTTTATTATAAACGAATTCAATATCTTCAATTTTTGTTTGAGGTTTTTTAGTTTCAATTCGATTTTTTCCATATGCATTTGCTAATAAATATGATAAATCAAATAAACTAGTATGATCTTTTGACCAAACAATTTTAAGTTTTTGTTCATTATCAATTAATTCTACATGTTCAGGTTCAATTGTCGATGGAATTTCAGCACAATCAACAATACGTTCACCAGTTTGTGGATGAATAGATTTACCTATCTCAAAACAATTATGTCGTAACCAAATGTAGTGAAAATCTATAGTATCATTTTTATCAATTAAACGAAGATGATCTTTACGTCTTTCAACATGAAGAAAACGTTGACTATTGGATGGTAACGAACCATGTACAAAACGAAGAAACGGACGAATATATTTAATAGTTGTCATTGTTTCATATATATGAATATTGTCGTTTTTTGCACGTTCTTTTTTATATACCGATGATAATGTTGACTATAGAACAATGACTTAGATTAAATGTAATCATTTTTTTGTTTTCGTTAGATGATACTCTTTGTTTTTTTACACATAAACAATAGAAAGACTATACGCACGATAACAAAACAATGACAACATGTACTTTCTCCTACAACCTTTTAAAACGTTTTTATGCTATCAGATGAAAAATATTATTCACTTTCGAATTTGTATTTACGATTTTTGTGTAAATAGTGTTCTAGGTATTAAATATTGCCCTTTTGTATTAAGATTTTTGTGACATATAGTACTGATCCATGATGTTGTTGTTACATTATACCCCATAGTGGAATATAAAGGTGTAAAAATTGATTCTGTTAAACATTTTGAAGTATCTAGGGGTTAATATAACAACTAAACTCGGATGGAGAATATATATCCCAAAACGTTTGAAGGAAATAAGAAAAATCTATCATGCTCTTCAAATTCTGTAACAACATGTCACTCGAAAATCAGTCTATTCGAATTTCTAACTTATCATGTTCAGCAATATAGGTACTTTAAACATTCATGCTTTCCAACATGTTGTTTTTATATATATATATAAATACCTTCTAGAGATGTATTAATCATTCGCAAAAAAAAGTCAAGCCGAATAGGATGAATATATTGTGCTGTAATGTGTTAAATTTTCTTTTTCTTTTCATTATGTTTGATTTTATTATTATAATAAAACTGAATGAGTTTTCATCATAATCTCTGTAAGAATTAACTCACTAATATTTCTTTTTTATTTAAATATTAAAAACCTTGATATTTTTTTCTCATTTTGTGTAGATGTTGTAAACGGATAGAGTGTGAACTTCTCTGTAAGTATTGAAACCACTGTGAATGGGAAGAAACATCTGTGTTTTCACCTGATACGTGACTGTAGTTTTTTACGTTCGCACAAACACTAGTAGAAACTGACGCATAAGACATAATACGTACGGCGAAAAATGTAAGCAGTAGACAACTGAAAAAAGAAACGATTAATGTCCTTAGAAAGATTGTCAAAAATAATAATTTGTTTATCATATTGTTACTGGTTTTTTTTGTAGCCAATATCATGCGAGTACGACAGAAATTATAATATGAGCATTAACACTATTTGTTTATTCTAATATAACACAGAAAGAAATGGTGGTTTTTTTAACAAATAAACGACCCATGTGATTCAAACCGTAACAAAATCATCGATAGATCGATCAGTAGAATGTGCGCTATACCAACAGTAGCTTGATAGTTGGTTTCCGACCGAAAATGTTCTGCCAGTACTTATAGGTACTGCGGTGTATTGGTGACAATGCAAACAAATATGCAACATGGGAAAACTATCATATCAAATCACATGTATTGTTGTATTCAATATAAGTATGATTATTATTAAAAGAGTATATTCGTTGCACAAGCAGTTCAAGAGACAAAGATATTAATTCGTACATAACAATAATGATTGTAAATTGTTGATAAAACATTGATGTTATCTTGTGAATCACCTATTTGAGTAATGACATATCATAGAAAGATGTATTAGTCTTGATTATTTGATATGATCAACATTATAAATTTTTATAATATTAATCGTTAAATTTCATTATTTGAAACTTGAGTCTATAAAGAAGAAAATAGAATCTTTTGCTAGTTTGACGACAATCATTTTTTATATGCAGCTGAAGTTTTACGATAAAAGATATAGTTTTATTGATATTTTATTTTGAAGATAAAAATCTAAGTAGTCTGTTCCATATTTCTTCCAAGATTTCATAGGATTCAAAAATCAATTTGTGCAACTTCGTTATACTAGAAAAGCATTGTTACTAGAAAAAAACAACAACAAATAATTAATAAAAATTTGAGTCCTGCAGCTCTGTACTACTCTAGGGTAAAGCTAGGGTATCATTTTGAATGTTGAAGGATATTATAGGATACATATTCATAATGTCGTCGTGCTCTATCTCATCTGAGATAAATTATCGAAAAAACAAGATTTTTTATTGCTTTTTCTCTCAGAATGTAAATGAAAATTTTGATTTGTATTTTCTAAATTTTCCCGTCTCGCCATCTTACTATTGGCTATTTCCATCAGTTCAGCAACAGCTGAGATAAATTTTGTCGGAAAAAAGCTGTACCTTTATTACAGTGTCTCTTACTTTTATACTCCTTCTAATATTTCTTGTCATTATGCATGGAAAGCACAATACATTTCTTTTTTCTTGAAAACTCATTCTCTTAATATTTCCTAGGTATAGTCATCCGGTGTAATTCGGATCACTGTTCAAAAAAATCTATTCATTTCACGCATTGCTTAACTATTTTACATAGGACAAAAAAGATTGTTTCACCAACAGATAGTCCAAAGTATTTTCTACAAGTCTATATAAAAATCTAAAAATTGATTTTTACCGAGTTTTTACAAAAATGGTGAGAACTCTGAGAAAATCATCCGAATTACACCAGTTAGCGTAATTCGAATCATTCCAGCAATTTTAACTGACCAGAACTTTGAAAACCTCTAGCATTTTTTGAGTAGGTTTTCAAGTGTTATTCCTGAGACAAAAATAAATCGAGTTGACCAACTATCATTCAAAATAATGAAACATCAAAAAAATTACATTTTTTTGAGAAGTCTCACGAAAAAAAAGTTTGAGTTTTCAGATACAAAATTGTTGTCGCCACAAACTGATAAAAAAATTAGAATTATAAAATCTACCCTTAAGAAGCTACACAGCTAACAATGTTGCTTCAACTGCAATCGGTACGGGAATGTAACATCTTAACAAAACGAATATGAAACATAAAATGTCAAATATCGTATTAAAAAAGAAGAGTAAACATTGAAATGCGAACATTCTTACCATATAATACCTTATCTCTTTGATATGACGTCGACAATTGTGAAATTGTACTAATGGGACCCGTCATTATGATTGAAGATGTACTTTGTGGACGTGGAATTGATAATTCTTCTTCAGACTATAATCATCCGAATAGAAATGTATTGTAAGAAGAAAAAAAAACTACTACAACAACTTACTGAGGGTGTGGGTGTTGATGTCGGCAATAGAACAACTACACCCACTCACTCCCATTTTCACCCACATCCACACCCAAAGTAAATTGGTAGCGTTTGGTTCTGTTTGCAATTCAGCTTTGTGGAGTTATTCTTAAACGAAAGAAAAAATAGGATTCTATAGTTCCACTGTTTCTCGAGTGAAATCTAAAAAATGTATTTTATTTCAAACCATTTATGTACGGTTATCACAGTTTATGGCTAGCTTCAGCCGTAAGAAAAATAATATATTGATTTAGCGTGTTTTTCAAGAAACAACACGTAGAAAACTGGAAAACATCTCTATAGCGCATGAAACTGTGTCCTGTGATGTCACTTGTTTCAAAAAACATTGGTTTTCTGCAAAAACTTGGAAAATTTCCGAGAGACACAGCTCCTATTCGCTCCATCCGACATCGCCATTACTATGAGTATGGCTGATAGATAAGTAACTGACACATACTTAAATAAAATGCGTCGTATTTATGAGTCACTCGTGATAGTATCGACCACTCTATCACGAAAATATGTTGCAGTCAGAATATCTCTCAGTATAAATGTATCGTAGTCTATCAGTTCACTAGTCATTCAGTGTTTTGTTTCGCACATACAACTGCATATAAACAATTCTATTGAGTATACCGAACTAATACATTTTCGTATATCTTCCTTTTCTAGATAATTTTTTGATTAGTCATTTATATCCGAGAACATGTGAACAGATTGATCATGAATAGACTGCCTTGAAGCGGTCTGACCAAGATTAAATTGATTCAGGACTAGAAATCTTAAGATCTTATTGTCTGAATCTAAGTATAGGTTGTTATTAATTCGACTTGAGCTGGAAAAGTAGTCGTTTCCGAATTTTTAGAAAAGATAGTCGATTAGCCGAAAAATAGATTCGAATCACATTTTCAGAATATGTCGCAACGAGCATATCGTATCGTACTTTAATATGTCGCAAAGAACAACACGTGCGACCTATTTTATCTCAGTGTGTATCATTGATGAAGTCATATATAACCATGTAGGTTCGAAATCGAAAAATAAATAAAAGGTAAAAACTCGTGTTTTTTAGATTATAATGTTATAAAAATATAGTTATGGCAAATTCATCTTCATCATACGTTATAAGTGAACCAACAGGACCATTTCATTCTGATCATGAAGCAAATTTATCATATACATCTACATTTAATACATCACTTGAGCATAATTTACCAAATCAAATAGATTCAATACCTCCATCATCATCATCGATTTTTATTGATGCACCTGTTCTTCCATCAAATGAAACACCATCTGATTTTTTACATGGTTTTTCTGCACCGACCCTACCAGTTTATATTAATATGAATATAAGTGAAAAAACAAATAATGTTGATTTTGCTGGACCAATAACAACAACAGACCCACCTTTATCACCTTCATATGTTGATTATCCATTATCTTCAACAACAGTTCAGAGACACAGTCATCATTATCTTCCACATCATTCACAAAATCAAAATCGTTATCCATATGTACATTATTATGAGCGACGATCTGCTTTTCGACGATCAAGAACACCAAACGGTATAGAAAAAAATTAGGAAATTTTTATTGAAAATATACTTTTTAGCCCCCTCAATGCCAGAACATTTATCGCCTGGTTATACACAAGATAGAACAGCAACATCAAGAAATGAAAATAGCAGAGATTATAACGAAAATAAAAAAGAAGAAGGTAATTTATAAAACATTTTTAATTCTATTCTTTTCCTGGTTCGAAATTTTCAAGTCTAATTACACCTATTTCTAATCGATCAACGTTAGTAATCATAACTGTTAGTAATGGGGTTGATTTTACTGAAGATTGAGTTGATAAATATATTGCATT